TATATATATGAACATACAGGTCTATCTAGCAGCATACCCTTATTCCACAGATTATTGAATTACTTTTCCTTTCTTCCACTGGTCCAGCCTACCCTTATGTAGCCCTCTTTGTTGATCCCCAAATGCCTTCCTAGTTTGCGCAAATCTGGCTCTATCCAAAGAGACTTGAATTTCAAGTTAGAGATTTCCTTGGGATCCACTTTCCTCCCAGTCTGTTGTCATAATTAACATCTGTACAACTCATTTCTGTTTTAATAGTATTTTGCTTATCTCACTCTTATTTAAACTTCATAAAACTGTGAGAAGCAGAGTAAGAATTTTCTCTTTAAGAGAAAACTAGGCTGGCTGGGGGCGGTGGTGCACACCTTTAATCCCAGCACTTGGGAGGCAGAGGCAGGTGGGTCTCTGTGAGTTCGAGGCCAGCCTGGTCTCCATAGGGAATTCCAGGACAACTGGGGCTACAGGGAGACCCTGTTTCAAAAGAAAACTAGAGCCAGGTGTGGTGGCACATGCCTTTAATCCCAGCACTCAGGAGGCAGAGACAGGCGGATCTCTGTTAGTTCAAAGGCCAGCCTGGTCTACATAGTGAGTTCCAGGACAGCTGGGGCTACAGGGAGACCCTGTCTAAAAAAGACCAAAAAAAAAGAAAAGAAAAGTAGGCTGAGAGAGGTTAAATTATTTGCCCAAGGGTGGTCCTTTTGAAAACCCAGATAACATGGAACCCAGACCCAATAAGCCATTAAATGGAGAATCCATAACTATCTCTTCTGGACTCTGCCAGCACCTGCACTCACACATGCAGAGATTCACACATAAAAGCACACACATACACACAGTTAAAAAATAAAAATAAAGCTGGGAGTGGTGGCACACACCTTTAATCCCAGCACTTGGGAGGCAGAGGCAGGTAGATCTCTGTGAGTTCAAGGCCAGTCTGGTCTACATAGTGAGTGCCAGGACATCTGGGGCTACATGGAGACCCTGTCTCAAAAAGACCAAAAATAAATAAATAAATAAGTAAATAAGTAAATAAATAAATAAATAGAAGCTGGGCTTGGTGGCGCACAACTGTAGTTCCAGTACTTGGGAAGCAGAGGCAGGCGGATCTGTGAGTTCAAGGCCAGCCTGGTCTACATACTGAGCACCAGACTAGCTGGGGCTACAAGAAAACTCTGTCTCCAAAAGACCAGATAGATAGATGATAGATAGATGATACATACATACATACATATGTACGTACATTACATATAATAATAATAGAGCTGGGTGTGGTGGTGGATGCCTTTGATCCCAGCACTCAGGAGGCAGAGGCAGGTGGATCTCTGTGAGTCCGAGGCCAGCCTGGTCTATATAGTGAGGTCCAGGCCAGCTGGAGCTAAAGGGAGACCCTGTCTCAAAAAGACAAAAAAAAAAAGATCTGGAAAGACAGTTCAGTATTTAAGAGTACTTACTGTTCTTGCAGAGGACCAGAGTTCAGGTCCCATCTCCCATATCAGGTGACTCACAACTGCCTGAAACTCTATCTCCAGGAGATCTGATCCACTCTTCTGGCCTCTGTGGCCACTGCACACATGAGGTAAACATACATACATGCAGACAAAACAGTCATACACATAAAATAAATAAAATATAACAAAAAAATTAAAATAAAAATAAATGAAGGATCCAGACTCACTTGACAGCCCCTAGAACCCAAGCCCTATAGCCCTGTCTTTGGTATCACACCCTCAGAGTATGCCAGAGTCATGAACATAAAACCATCATCTCAGCCCCAGTGGGTGGAAGTGGAAGTGTAGGTCCACAGGGTTCTCTGGGTTCCAGGCGAGGCTATCCTGCTACTGCAGAAGTTGGTGAGAATCTACTGATGAGAAGAAGGTTATAGAATATAAGAAAATGGTTTGGGCCTAGGACCAGGAACTTGCTTGGCAACATCTCTTAAGAACCTGGAGTTCTACTGGGAAGAGCAGAATCTGACTCTGATAGAAGAGAGGGCCATGCTTTGTGGATCTGGGAAGGGTAGGAGGGCTTCCCCACTGTGGGCTCTGTCATCCACCATAGCTTCTCTTCTCTGCAGAACACATACACAATCTTCAGAAGCCAAAATCATCGAGAAATGCAAGCTTGCCCAGAAACGAAGGACATTGGTTAGTGATGACCATCTTTTGGAATTCTACATGCCAGCCTCTGTAATCTGTTTATCTTCGGTCTACAGTTCAAAAGCACCACCCACCTGAAACATGCCCACCAGACGAGCTTCTTCCCAGTCAGAAGAGTATACACCCATCAGGCTTTGGGGGAAGAGTAGGCACCCTGGTTATTCATTATCTAAAAAGCCTTCCCAGAGGGCTAGAGAGATGGCTCAGCAGTTAAAGAGTACTGGCTGCGCTTGCAGAGTACCCAGGTCTGGTTCCCAGCACCCACATGGTGGCTAACCACCATTTGTAACTCCAGTTCCAGGGGATCCAACACCTGCTTTGTTTTTGGCCTCTGCAGGAATTGATTGCATGCGTGTGGTGCACTTAATATACATGTAGGCAAAACACTCATACAGATAAAAATAATTTTTAAAAAAATTGAAAGGCTTCCCAGACTGCCCTAGGCAGAGATATTCAGGCCCTCAGACTTCCCTTTACTTGCAGCTCAGCATTCGGGAGTGGTCTTATTTCTTCATCCAGCCTGACATGTGTCAGACACTACTAGGTGTCAGGTTGATCACATTGGATTCTGCCGGGATCTATTTCTCTCTTTATGGTCTTATGTCTGATACAGTACTTGAATGGCTGACATACACTGGGAGTTCCATAAGTGCTTAGAACATAGGTGTGAAGGCAGAGTAAAATGTGTTTCTCAATTGTATTTTGGTTCTGAGTTCCTCATTTCTGTTCTTTAAACTTTTTATATAGGCCAGGCATAGTGAGACCTTTTATTTGAAAGGCTGAGGGACATTGATACATAGTTAAGGCTAGCTTGGGTACATCCTGAGTTCCAGGCCAGCGTAGGCTACTGCATGAGACCTTTTCTCAAAAAGTATTCATATAGCCAGGTATGGTAGAGCACAGTTTTAATCTCAGCCCTCAGCAGATAGATCCCTGTGAGTTCAAGGCCAGTCTGGTCTACACTGCAAATTCTATGCTAGTCAGTGTTACATAGTGAGACTGGGTCTCAAAAAAACAAAGAAAGACGTATTTGTATACAAATTAATGTTGTTGGAACTGGAGAGATGGCTCAGCAGTTAAGAGCACTGACTGGTCTTGTAGAGGACTCAGGTTCAATTCCCAGCACCCACATAATGGCTAACAACAATCCGAAACTCTAGTTCCCGGGGATCTGATGCCTTCCTTTGACCTCTGTGGGCACAGCCCAACATGGGTGCATTACCTGGGATACATAATAAGACTCTGTCTCAAAACCCTCTCTCCTTGCCTCTGCCCAGGGGATGGGGTAATGGGGAAGGCTGGGGAGGGGTGGGGGTGGGGGATTGGGGGCTGTCAGAATACTGTCTTATTATCTTACTAAGTACTTTTAGTTTTTGTTTTGGATTTTCTTTTTCAGTGCTGTGGACCAAACATGGGACTTCACACATGCTAGATAAGTGCTTCCCACTGAGCTAGTACCCCATCCCACTTTGGAACTTTTGTTGATTTTATCATAGGACTGTCGTAATTTAACCAACAAATGGCCATTGTTCATATTTCAAAGGAAAGCCTCCCCCCACCTTTTTGTTTTTTTGTTTGTGTTTGTTTTTTAGACCTGGCTAGCTTTGATCTCAGAGATCTGCCTGCCTCTGCTGGGATTAAAGGTGTGCACCACCATACCTGGCTAAAAATATATTCAAGTAAATTTAGATCACTGTGGAGCACTGTGGGCTGTGTGTTGGTTTCCTTGCAGAGAATGTGTTTCTGGGCCACACACGTTGTGAGCTGGACTGCCAAGACCAGGTGCCTATCTAAGGAGGAAAAGAGGGCAATATGGACTCTGCAGAGATGAAGTTTAGCCACATTCCTCTAAGGCAAGCAGTTCAGTTCCATACTCCTGTCAACTGCCAAGTAACTCAGTGTAGTAGACCTGAAGCCCCAGCTCATTTGCTTTTTTTTCCGCACATCCATCACCAACCACCAGGGGTGCTGTCCTCCCGCCATCTCCCAGGTGAGGCGCCGGCGGGGGCACCTTCCCGTCTTCACCGGCAGGGGACAGCAAAGAGCAGAGAGGACCCAGGGACAGTGTTTTCTAGCAATCCAGAGACAAAGGTCTTCTCCAGCAGCTAAAAAGCCATGCAATAGAAGCAGCTCTGCAAAGTAAGGTGACCATGTTTTCTGCAACAGAAAAAGCGGAAAGAACACGTTTACTGTTTCTGAAAGTCTGAAACACTAAACTCACGGAGGCCAACCTCAGTATCCCCTGGGATTATTTCATACTTGTTTTGAAACAGCCTGACAGTGTGGCCTCAAGCATGTGATCTTTCTGCTTCCACACCCCAGTGGAGTGCTAGGATGACAGGGCAGTGCCACCAGCTATGTGAAAAGTGCCTTTGTTGTTTGTATGGTTTTTGTTTGTTTGGAAACAGGGCCTTGCTACTTGGCTCAGGCTAGCCCACCCGCTCAGGACAGTCCTGCTTCAGAGTTGGTATTATAGGTGTGAGCTACCACACCCTACCTAGAAGTTTGGCTTTCCTTTCTTCATTTTAGTTTGTGCTTTTTTTTTTTTCCTGGCTTGACAGTTTCCCTCGGCTTATTTTTAATTTTGATTTTTTTTCTTTTTTAAAAAAATATTTTGCTATTTTTATTTTATGTTTATGCGTGTATTGCCTGCATGTAGGTAAGTGCACCGGTGTTGTGCAGTGCTGGCAGAGGACAGAAGAGACTATTGGATCCCCTGGAACTAGAGTTACATATTAGTTGCCATGTGGGTGCTGGGATTTGAACCCGGGTCTTCTGCAAGAATAGTCAGTGTTCTTAACTGCTGAGCCATCTCTCCAGCCCCTTTTTTTGGTCTTTTTGAGACAGTCTCCCTGTAGCCCCAGCTGGCCTGGAACTCACTATGATGTAGACCAGGCTGGCCTGGCCTTGAACTCACAGAGATCTGCCTGCCTCTGCCCCCAGAGTGCTAGAATCAAACACGTGCACCACCGTGCCTAGCTTTTTGTTTTCTTTTTTTTGAGAAGGTCTCATGTAGCCCACACTGGCCTGGAACTCACTATATATTGGAGGATGACCTTTGAACTTCTTTTTTAAATATTTTAATTTATTATTTTCATTTTTGTGTATGATTGTATTACCTGCATGTGTGTAAATGCACCTGTGTCATGCAATGCCTGTGGCGGTCAGAAGAAGGCATCAGATCCCCTGGAACTGGAGTTAAGGACAGTTGTAAGTTCCCATGTGGGTACTGGGAACTGAACCAGGGTCCTCTGCAAGAGCAGTCAGTGTTCTTAACCACTGAACCATCGCTCCAGTCTTGACCTTTGAAATTCTTGTGCTCTTGCTTCCACAATCTGCAAGCTGAGATTACAGGCAGAATGCTGGAATTATAGGCAGGTACCACCACATCCAGATTATATACTGCTGGGGATAGAACCCAGGACTTTGTGCATGCTAGGCAAGCATTTAACCAACTGAGCTATATCCTAAGCCCTCAATTTTCTTGTGAATTTGAAGATGATTTATGCTTATTGTAGAAGACTTTGAAAAATACAAATAGAGGGCTGGAGAGATGGTTCAACGGTTAAGAACACTGAAGTTCTTGCAGAAGACCCAGGTTCGAATCCCAGCACCCACATGGCAGCTAACAACTGTCAGTAACTCCAGTTCCAGGGGATCCAACAGCTTCTTCTGTCCTCCGAGGGCACTGCATGACACTGGTGCATTTACCTACATGCAGGCAATACACGCATACACATAAAATAAAAATAAAAATAAAAAATAAGGGGCTGGAGAGATGGCTCAGCAGTTAAGAATGCTGGTTGTTCTTGCAGAAGACCCGGGTTCGAATCCCAGCATCCACATGGCAGCTAAAACTTTCTGTGACTCCAGTCCCAGGGGCTCCAACAGCTTCTTCTGATCTCTGAGGGCACTGCATAACACGGGTGCGCTTACCTGCCTGCAGGCAATACACGAATACACATAAAAATAATAAATAAAAATTTAAAAAATAATAAAATATTTATAAAAATACAAACAGAAAATTATAGAAATCGTAGAAAATTAGATAAAATAATCACCCATATCATTTAAGAAAAACAATCACTAATAACCTTTTGGATTTCCTGTTCTTCTGTTTGGCTTGGCATGCCTATTCCCAAATTTCAAGTTAAGCCTAAGTATGAATTTGAGGATCACCCTGTGTGTAACAATGCTGTTCCTACTCTGTCTCCCCCTGCACTAGCTGCCTGGGCTCCTGGCCTGACCTTCTCAACTGAAGCTTCAAGCACCCTGCTGTCTGGACACCAGCCTCTTATTCATAGCTCTTCAAATCTGCCTTATCCCTGAACTCTTTGTGCTAACCACTATCTCCACAATCACACAATCTCTCCAAGTGACTGTAGCTGTTCCCATATTCTCATTAGAGCTGTGCTGATATCATTACCTCTTACTCTATGATGTGCAGCCTTCCCTGGTTAACCCCAGTCAGGCTCCCCACCCTCCTATAGCCTGTATTGCCTTCAATCACTTCATGTTGACTTGTGATTATCAGTTCACTTGTCACCCCACTACCATCATACCCAAATTTCCTCATGTCTCTAAAACCCATCAGGGATCAACATGTACTATGGATCCAAAAATGCTGAGGAACAAATGACTGAATGCATAAAGTCCTAGAACTAGGTTTCATTGGATTGAATTATATTTTTATCCATGTCATGAGTATTTTATGAAAAAAAATGTATACATACTACTTCCTACCATATGGCTCTGGCAAAGGTTCAAAATGAAATCCCATTCAGCTGGGGACCCTCGCCTATTTCCCCATTCTCCAAGGGATGCAGTCCAATCTCTTCCCAGGGTCCACAGCTCTCTACCTGCTGCATCTCTGTAGTCTTGTCTGCCTTGTCCATCCAGGCTTGAGGCTGGGTTTATGCCCCTCCCTTGACTCTTAGCTGCACTGTGCCAGGGGGGAGGTATTAGGGCTGTCTCTTCACATTTGTTTTTCATAGCACACGTATTCAATGTTCTCTGACTTACATTCACCGGGCTCCTAGCAAGCACTAGAGCGTATAAACTAGATACTGTTTTCTCAGGACATCCTTGCTTGCTTGTCTCAGTACACTGGGACAGTACTTCACCTTTCCTACTTTACAAATGAAAAGACAGGCACAGAAAAAGTTAAACCTGTGCTCACACAGGTAAAAAGGGAGATCAAGAATTTGAGCCAGGCATGGTGGTGCACAGGGGATACAACTCAGTGGTAGAATGCTTGCCTAACATGTGTGAGGTTCTGGGTTCAATCCCCAGCAAAGGCAGGAAGGGAGTAATGTTGGCATAGTAACCCCAGCTGTCCCTCCTTGAAGCCCTTGCAGTTTTCCATGGGTGGCCACCTGTCCCCATGGCCCACATACACCAGTGGCCAGATGATTCTACATAATCGAAAGCCCTGTACAGATGACTGCCGGAAGAGAACCAAGTAAGCCAGGATCAGCCCAATGGGGGATGGGTTGGTCTAAACAAGGTCCAGGAGAAATAGCTCAGTGGCATTTGCAACACCAGAGCAAGAGTGCAAGGACCCATGGGGTGCTGGTAACATCTCAGCCTACCATCCTCTGCAGTAGCTGGCAGCAGCAACCCCTGGGCGCTTCCAAGCCCAGGTACCTGGAGCAACTAGAAAACTATCTACGAAAGGAGCTCCTCCTGCTGGACCTGAGCATGGATTCTGCACAAGAGCTAAGGCTGCAGGTCAGAGCTACAAACTAAACATGTCTAGGGTGGAAAGAGACCTCACCCATCCAGACCTTCACAGGGGAACTGGCCTCTCTTATCTTCTAACTCTACTTATCCACTGTTTTTGTTTTGTTTTGTTTGAGACAGAGTCTCATTATATAGCCCTAACTGACCTGGAACTATGTAGACTATTTGAACTCACAAGGATCCACTTGCCTCTGCCTCTGCTGAGACTAAAGGCGTGTGCCACACCTGGCAATTCCACTTATCTGAAGAGAGGACTGCCCTGTGATGAAGCCACTGGTCTTGTGGCAAGAACTAGAAGCTTAAAGAATTAATTCAGAGAGTGAAAATGAGTTGTCAGTCTAGATGCAATCCAGACTGGTGTATATTAGAGAGGAACTCAGGTAGGAATAATGGCAGGGAATCCCTGACTTCTGATTTAGTCATAACTGAAACATTCTCTGAGCCCTGGCCACGTTCTAGGCTCTGTGTACACTGATTGTTTTTTTGTTTTTGTTTTGGGTTTTTTTTTATTATTATTTTTGGTCTTTTTTGAGACAGGGTCTCCTTGTAGCCCCAGCTGTCCTGGAACTCACAAAGATCCGCCTGCCTCCGCCTCCCAAGTGCTGGGATTAAAGGCGTGTGCCACCATGCCTGGCTTAAACTGTTATTTTTTATTTTTATTTTTGCTGGGGTGGTGTGGTGGTGATGTTGAGTCAGGGTCTCCTGTAACCACAGCTGGCCTGGAACTTGCTATGTAGATCAGGCTGGCCTCAATCTCAGAGATCTCCCTGCCTCTGCCTCCCTAGTGCTGGGCTCAAAGGTGTGAGCCACCATGTCCACACAAAGGTGTGAGCCACATGAAGGGGTAGGGCTGGTATTCAAATTCAAGGTTGATTCCAGAGCCTCTGCTCATTCCAGTAGGAAATGACACCCCTAAAACTTTCCTATGTTTGCAAGTCAAGAGATCTTTACATGGGCTGGAGAGATAGCTCAGCAGTTATGAGCACTGGCTGCCTGCAAAGGACCCAGGTTTGGTTCCTAGCACACACATAACAGCTAACAACCATCCTTAACTACAGTTTCAGAGGATCCGCTATCCTCTTCTGACCTCTGTGGCATTACACACATAGGTGCACTTACATACATGCAGGCAAAACACTCATACACATAAAACAAATTTTTTTTGTCTTTTTGAGACAGGGTCTCCTTGTAGCCGCAGCTGTCCTGGAACTATGTAGACCAGGTTGGCTTTGAACTCACAGAGATCCGCCTGCCTCTGCCTCCCAAGTGCTGGGATTAAAGGCGTGCGCCACCACACCTGGCCAAAATAATTTTTTTAAAATTTTTTAAAAAAAGAACATTTCACATCCAGGTGCCCCTTCCGCCCCCCAAAAAATCTATGGGGGTTGGGAAATGGCCAGTAAAGACCTGAATTTTGATCCCCAGTACCCATGAAAAAAGCCAGGACCATCAGCATCTGTAACCCAAGTGCTGGGAGGAGAGGTGGGCAGAAACAGGCAGATCCTGGGAGCCAGCGAGCCTAGTCAATCAGTGAGCTCCAGGGTCGGTGAAAGACCCTATCTCAATAAAATAAGGTAAGCCAGGAGTGATGGTGCCTGCCTTTAATCATAGCACTGGAGAGGCAAAGGCAAGCAGATCTCTCTGAGTTTGAGGCTATCCTGGTCTATGTAGTGAGTTCCAAGCTAGCCAAAGTGCATACATAGTGAGACCCTGTCTCAAAAAATAAATGATAAATAGGGCTGGAGAAATGGCTCAGCGGTTAAGAACACTGACTGTTCTTGCAGAAGACCCGCGTTTGAATCCCAGCACCCATGTGGCAGCTAACAACTGTCCGTAACTCCAGTCCCAGGGGATCTGACAGCCTCTTCTGTCCTCTGAGGGCATTGCACAACATAGGTGCACTTACCTACATGCAGGCAATACACACATACACATAAAATAAAAATTTTTTTTAAAATTTTAAAAAGATACTTCTTCAGGGCCAGGTGTGGTGGCACACGCCTTTAATCCCAGCACTCGGGAGGCAGA